AATATTTTAATAATATTTTAGCAGGCAAAATCGATAATAACGGAAACTGTGATGGAAGCGCTTTCTCAGACAACTGGAAGCTGGACCGATGTTATCGTATTGGGAAGTGCAAAAATTACCTTGTAAGAATACAGGGCAACAGTAAAACTCAATAACAAATACAAATCAAGTAATACTTCGATCAGGAATTCATTGCATACTGAAAACGGGAGAATGAACAGATATAGAAGGAGGCAATACTTATTGGGACAGCATAGCAGATGACTCTTGCAGAGAAACTAGCTTCGGAGTTTTATTCGATGGATACGCCGTTAAAGTACAGGGCAGTAATGATCAAACGGCACAAACAATTTATTCCATCTTCACCCAAGAAACAACCTTTGCTCTAGCAAGTAGAGGCAAGGTAAAAGCTTGCGGTTACTCCTTGGTAAAAACAGAACATCCGAAATTATTCATTTTCGAAACACTCACTAATCTAAGCATTTTCAAGAAAGTACACAATCCGGCAAATACAGATATCTTCGCACATATGAACTCAAAATTTGTGTACATTGAGAAACATTTTCGCACTCAATTAAATCAACTTTATAGAAACATCTTGTATCAGCAATGTTACCTCGAACAGAAAATGCTTCAAAATGCTCTGGCAATTGCCACACAGTCACTAAATATATTTGCCTACCATCTCATGAAGTCACCTGGATATACATCCGTTCTAGCTGGAGAAATGATACACATCATTAAATGCGTATCAGTCGAGGTGCAAGTTGCATCGACCACCAAATGTTACAATCAACTTCCAGTGATAAGGGCCAACAAAACATACTGTTTAGTTCAGATACACTTATTACTCCGACAAGGTACCCAGGTTAATCTGTTAGCACCCGTAATGTACCGATTAGGCGAGTCTTGGTACCGCATATCACCAAACCTAGTCGAAGCAATTCCACCAACGATCTTGAAACCAATGACAAAACTCGTATGGAAATACACCAGTTCTGGTGAACTGGCCACTAGCGGAATCTACTCTTAGGCCGACCTTGAAGAATTTAAAGATCATATTCTATTCCCAGCTGAACGGCCTTCTGTTCTTAACACATTAGCAAGAGGAATGATACTAAGACTATACATGGAGGATCTTTTATGAACCTTTTAAACAAAGTATCTCTAGAAAAATTAGCAACTTCAACATGGAATAGATTCTGGGGAAAATTCATAACTTTTGGCAATATTAGTGCCGGCGTGCTCGGCATCGTAATTATCAGAACAATTAAACTCATATTAGACCATTCTGTATGGTGTCGCCCTGCATTCAGTTTTCGGCTGCTCCCTATATCTAATAGAGGCACTTTGGGAATCGCTTACTCAACTTTTACTTTTACTCGGTGGAAAGAAGGCCACCAAAACCAACGAAAATATTACAAAATTATAACCATTCAGGGAAAACCCTGATCAACCTCCTACAACCACCACCTCCCATCGGTAGTATGGACTACCGAAATCTTTATCGACCTCTCCCTCAAAAGAAGAACTCCAAGTATACCTTGAATTTAAAAACGTAAAACTACAGCAATAATTCTTTATACAGGCAATGGAAATCGCTCATATCAACACCGCACTTCTTTCTCGACATCGCCTCCCGATACACGTCATTCATGTGGAATCTCCCACTCGATTTTATTAGGTGGTAAACTTAGTTCCTGTAGCTCACAGTTAGATGACGTTAGTTGTAGGTGTAATTTATTTTGACATCTGAAACTGGCTGCATTTTAGAGGTTAGACATTTGTCAATAAAATTCAGTGCGAAGAGATTCATTTAAGCGAGCAGTGCTATTTTATCTTTTGATTAAATATGGAACGTGATAAGTTGTTTTTTCGACATGTGCTGCTTCATTACTTTGAAAAAAACTGCAGCTGCAGCTCATAAATTGCTTTTCGAAACTTATGGCAATTATGCTCCATTGGAAAGAACATGCCAAGTATGGTTTCAGCGATTTAAGAGTGGTGATTTTGATGTCAATGATAAAGAACGCTCAGGCCAACCGAAAAAGTTTGAAGACACCGATTTGCAGGCATTATTGGACGAAAACTCTACTCAAACGCTCCAAGAATTGTCTGCAGCATTAAATGTTACTCCGATGGCTGTTTCCAAACGTCTACATGCAATGGGAAAAATTCAAAAGGAGGGAAAATGGGTACCACACGAATTAACCGCAAATGCCATTGCGAATCGCTTAAACATCTCTATTTCTCTGCTCGCCAGGCAGAAAAAGAAGAGTTTTTTGTGGCGCATAGTGACTGGCGATGAAAAATGGATATACTTCGATAATCCTAAACGAAGAAAATCATGGGTAGACCCTGGCCAACCATCGACATCCACACCAAAGAGAAATATTCATGGCCACAAAGCAATGCTTTGCATTTGGTGGGATATGCACGGCGTCGTTTATTATGAGCTACTCAGACCGAACGAAAGTATCACGGGGGATCGATATCAATCACAATTAAACCGTCTGAATGAAGCATTGTTGGAAAAAAGGCCAGCAGTAGCCAGCAATCGACGTAAAGTCATGCTTTTGCACGACAACGCTCGACCACACGTTGCCAAAGCCGTCAAAGAAACACTGATGCAGCTCGAGTGGGAAGTTCTCCCGCACCCAGCGTATTCACCAGACTTAGCTCCTTCGGACTATTACTTGTTCCGGTCGATGCAGCACGGCTTGGTGGATACACACTTCAGAAATTACGAGGATGTGCGAAAATGGATCGACGAATGGATTGCATCAAAAGACCAATCGTTCTATCGTCGCGGAATCTACGCGTTGCCCGAAAGATGGGAAAAATGTATAGCTAGCGAGGGAAAATACTTCGATTAATGTATTTTTTGCTTTTGATGTCGAAATAAATGAGTTTTTTAAACAAAAAAACCGCAGGAACTAAGTTTACCATCTAATAGGTACAATTGAAATACAGGCGCAACGACCTCCAAGAACTGCAGGCCGAAATAAAGTGGAAAATGGAACGGATAAGACGCTACTATATAGTTTGGCCTCACTGCATGAAGATTGATCTACTGGTGGTATGCAAGGATGGCAAGGAATGGTGCCGAGGTACTATTATTGGTCACAACAATACAACTGCCACCGTCCACTTGGACGACTGGGCGAACATTATAAAAAAAACAAATAACACAGGTGTACCATATTCATGAGAACTTCATCAAACAACCATGGTTCATATTTTGCTGAGGACTATGGGAAATTAAACCCATCGACAGTAACACATATTGATCCAGGAAAACACGAGAGATAACGAAACTCCTAACCAAAGAAGAAGAGGGTTGGATCCGTATCAAGAAACCTTTAGGAGAAAAAATAGCAGACGTCGATCTGCATCTGAAAAGACTAACCATCTCGGATTGGTAAATTTTAAAGATGAGCTTGTCACGCTAGGTCAAGCAACCTTGACGACCGAAATCCACCGTCCATTCCTATCTATCTAGGAATATGATTGTCCATGCGTACCCATATCTACACATATATCTATCTAATCTTTTAACATATCTATTGTCAACAAAAAAAGACAAAAAATATATATATACTATTTTGCCTTTGTATATTCTTAGAAAAGATAATGATAATAAGAAGTTTTTCTCGCATGCCACTATCTACGCATGCACAAGGGGGTTGGTACCCCTTATGTCAAAAGATAGCCCTTCTGATCTAATTCTCAAGATCAAGATCATTGGAGATTGTTCCGTTTATTTTCATTTCTTCGTAAAAATGCTAATGCCGGCGATCCTCTAACTTTGAAGCATTATAACTTGAAAAGTACTTCATGAAAAAATATATTATTATAGCGTTTTGGAAAGCTCTCGAGATGTGCTATAAGAATATGCAATGAAAAATGGGGTGTTCCATTTAAAAAAATTAATGTGACCTTGACCTGACCTTCGCTACGCAACCCAAGGTCAAACTGATGTGATCAGTAAATACATCTTTTTAAACGCCACAACTTTTGTCTGAAACATTTTTTTGTAAAACTTATATTTTTCCTGATATTCGGGCGTCCCAGTACTTTCCGAACACCCTGTATATGTATATAATTCACACATACATGATAATATACAACGTATAACATTTAATATTCTTTGCTTGACTTTGGTTTGCATTTTATTTTGTGTGTTAAAAAGAATATATTTATATATATATATTTATATATCAATTATCATTTCATTACATAAGAGCTCTGTTATTTTGTTGACAAGAACCAATTAGATTAGATTCAGGTTTTAAAACTAATAATATTTTGAATAATTTATACAAAAAATATTTAGAGCAAATTACACAATACTCAAATACTTAAAAAGGTTTTAGCTTAATCTTTCATTGAATATCTAAAAGTAGTGATGCAATCACTAGCACAATAATATATTTTATACTAATACTTGTTGGATAATTAATGTTGTTCGGTCATTTCAATATTTGCTCATAAATATATTATAATATTCTGTGAATACAATAAAAAGATACATTATTAAAGAACATCCTTAGAACCATTACAATAATCGCGTATTGCGATCGCAAAAATTTACGGAATACGTTTTAGCATGTTCCAAACAAAGATGGGTGATTGTTTCGGATTAAAGAAGATTTTTTTAATGGGTTAGTTAACTCAGAGTGACCTTTCTAATATATTATCGAAATAACTATTTTCTAATATATTACCAAAATAACTAAAAAGTTTTGTTAAAAACTACAACAAATTTACTAAAGTAATTTTCTTGGTGAAATTTGTACTTTGTTTTGGATATTTTAAAGTAGATATTCATAAGTAATATATCACTCTTGCATATTGTTTCTTTCCACTAACGAATATTTCTAGTTCGTCATCTCAACAGTTACAATTTATCTTGTCAACAACTTTTTCGATACATACAAACATACTTGTATATTGTTATTAATGTTCTGTGTACTGTTACCAGTTAAATACCTATATATAACCCGTATATATATTTCTGTTACATTACGTGAGTTGCCGAGCTTCGTGCATTATTTTGATATAAATATTACAAACAAACTACTCATAAACGTGAATTAATAAGACGTATGGCGATGAATTCCTTGTCAATATCAACTTTTGATGGTCCATACACAGAAGACAGATATAATAAGTTTTTTAATCCAAACGTTTGTCATGTTTGCAAACAGCCCAGCGAAGACTTGATAACGTGTAATCGGTGCTACATGATTTCTTACTGTTCCGAGGAGCATGAGGCGATGCACAGAAACACACACTCTCAGATTTGCAAAGCTATAGGAAAGGTAATAACAGACAAATTATTCTCGAATACGTATCCTAGCTTGGCAGAATGGATAGAATCACGGAAAGGAATTTTACATCAAATGTCTTCTATTCTGTCACGTGGCTTAGCTCCATACGAAATAGAGATAATAATGTGCGCAAAATCGTGTGGTGTGTGTTTCCGACAGACAAACATAAGGCGCTGCAACATTTGCTATTCTGCTAATTTTTGTGATGATGACCAAATACTATTTAAAAAATTGCATGATAAGTGCTGCGATGAGTTGTTGCAATTACTGAACATAAATATCGCCCATATAAACGGCCATTTTGAAGGAATTTTACCTGAAATCAAAAAATCAAAGTTCACCAAATTTCCTGCTACGGCACCTTTTTATGACACTTTTACATTTATGAAAAATTACCTACCCAATTATTCTGTATTGCCTGCTTATGAGTTGACTTTAGACCATTCTATCCTAAGGTTCCACTTTTCATTAGAGCAACTTATTTTTTCTGATAACGCATCCGACCCGCTGACGTTATACAATGCGTTGCAGGAATCAAATTTAATATCTCGTTTATGGTATAGAATTAAATATGTCATTCATGTAATAGATGTAAATAAAACAGATATAACATCTTTGGAAACGTGGCATATTTTCTTACATTTATATAGAAAAATAAGGGAACTGTATATTGTATTTATAAATTCGTTAAATTTTGAATCGAGCGATTTAGGCTTTGTGTGTAGTACGTGCAAGACTTATAAACAGAAACTTTATATTAGAAGCGTATCAGAACCGTATCACGATTTTGTACGCTTAGATTCATATGAAAAACCGAATGTGATCATACTGTTTCAAATAGAATGGCTTTTCTTAGATACATGGTCTAAACCTTTAGAAGCAATAATAGCGCAAGAGTGTCCGTTACTTTTAACCGCTATTTCGGAAAATACAGTACAAGAATGCATAGACAAGATACAAAAACAAACAGGTACAACCAGAAATCGATTACACAGAGAAAATAAATTCCGCGGTTATATGCCGTATAGAAATTATATGACTGGTGGATTTTATTACCGAAATACGCATTTTATTATGTTTTCATAAATTAAATCACATGATCGACCTAGGCAGAAGGTTATGTATTGTTTAATCCTATTTATATTTTGATATAGTTAATGATATATAATTTTTAATAATATTCGGGAATAAATTAGAAACTTTTTACTGAAGCATATATTCAGTCATAAATTGATAATATTTTTATTAAAATAAATTTGCTCATTTGTCAGTATATAATTAATTAGTATAAGGTGTGTTAGTATATAATTTCTCATTTTCTCAAAATATGTAAAGAATGTTGAATATGAAATAATAGATTGCGGGCTATATGTATATAGTTTCTTTAAATTCTACAATTTGTCACATTCTGTACCATACTTATAGGCAATATTATATGCAGCTACGATCATTCTATGTCTATAACTGAGTTGTATGTAATTGTCTTACAAATCTCTATTTCATTGATCATGTTCTACAAGTGATAGGTGCTGATAGTAATCTCAATGTTTCATGTAGATTATTTTCTTCAAACTGTACCTTGTAAACAAATATTATAACTTGTTAATATCGACTTTTCCAATTTAAATTGTCAAAATATGTTAAAAAATATGAAAATAGACCTGGAATTGTTAGCGTCTCTCGATCATCGTTATCTTCTGTAATTGCAAAATTAAATACAAGTGTAATTATCGTCGGCAATGAAATATAAGTCTTTTAATAGTACACATTCATTAAGAAATTTGTATTATGTTTTTTTCCTGAATTTGTGTAAAAGCGTAGTTCATACTGTATTGAACGAAAGTATGTATACGATTGTATAATATTATATGTTATGTATCGTCCCTATTGTTGCGCTGCTTTGTTCGATTAATGGTAAGTATAGCATAGAAAAGCTTTCTGGTCACATTATAAGGATGCGTAATAAACAAAGTGCTATAACTAGTCACATTGAGAAAAAATATATTTTAATTTAATTTTTTAGGCTTTCGCAGTGTCCATGCATATTAGATTTGTTTTCCTGATTTGAGCCGCGTGGATTCATCTTTGTTTGATTACAACGTTTCGCGAGCAATTCAGTCCGCTTTGTTAGGAACGAACGACTCGATGCCGAGTTGCTCCTGAGAGGTCTTCCTTTATATAGCAGTT